GGCCGATGAGGGTGTTACACCTCTTCGGCGGGAAGGGATTCCTTCCGGGCGATGAGGTATTTACCTCATCGACCGCTCGGAATCCTTTCCGGTCGATGAGACTTTTTTTTCTTGTCGACCGGAAGGAGGAAATCCTTCCGGTCATGGGAGCGGGAGCAACGACTCCCAAACCCCCTTAAGCATGTGGGGCGGTTTGGGGCGCCGACTCCCCAAAAATAAATTAAAAAAATAAAAAAAACATTTGATGGCCGACTCCCAAAGTCGGCCATCTTTTGGAAGAACGACTCCCAGCCGACGACCCCTTGACCAAAACGGGAGTCGTCGACTAATTTTTGGGAGTCGTTTTTCCAACCCCCTTCATTTTTAACACCCCACCCCTGAGCTTTGGATATGAATTGCTCAAAAAAATGCTCTTATTAATCATACTTTTTAATTTTCTCTTATTAATCATACTTTTTAATTTTCAACTGTGGGATCAACTTTGTGGGCCAGTTTGGATTGTGTCATTCTGCATAGCCCACTTTCCTAAAAAAAATCCAGTATTTGGTGGTCCTTGTGTTATTTGAGAATGGCTCTAATTTTGTAAGATTATTTATTCTGCTGTCAGCAACCTGAACCCAATTATGTTTCCACTCAAGAAGGTGTTCTCTCAAATCTTCTCATGATAATTATTGGAGTGTATGCTCAAATTTTACTCATGCATCTCACTGCACTGATTTTTATGTCCTTTTGAAGTTGTTTCTCCCAATCACATGTTCTGTTTGGAGGAAACAGAGTTTTTTTACATGATTGTTACTTTGATTTTGGGATATAATTCCTTTTACCATGGCATGCAGTTCCTTTAATTCCTTTTTTTTGCAGAGCGTGGAAGTGTCCCTGGGTGATGTTTTCTCACGACAGATTGAATCAAACAAAGGAGTAAATGATTGGTACCGTCTGCCAAGAGGCCAAGTGTTTCGGATGACTGTCCGATTTTGTATGCAAACAAATAATCTTCCTGGCCAATCATGATATGTTATATATGCTTTGCGCAATCAGTATTGTTCATAGCGGAACAGTCGCAAGCTTTCCGGGATCCGGGCATTCTTCCGCAGACCAAGATGCGAGAGTTAAAATGTTTCAGGAATCTAGTCGCTTAAACAATTACACTCATGAGTCATGACGAACTCTATCCGCTCCTGGAAAGCGCCCACGTTTGCAGCCTTCAGACAAATGAACGTGATTTGCGTTAACGTGACTTGCGTTTGAAGCGCAAGTGTGATTTCTCTGAGGAAGGCGGATCTCTGAACCGTTTGTATGTCTGGCGGCCTATGAGCAAACTTGAGCAGCTTATGTGGTCAAAATTGTATCCCTTGAAACCGACGCCCGAGTCCTAGAAGATGCATGTTTCTTCTGTACCTGAATCTGTTCAGCGCCAAGCAGATAACGCTAAAGGCCATGTAATCTTCGGCATCGGCATCGGCGTTTGCGACCCATGATAGAGCTCACGCTGTTTATTCCTGCGTCGCTGCAGGTTGATGGACGATAACTCCAGCCACTTGGGTTTCGAACGACCGGAGAACCGCATCTTGCGTCAAGCTCGTTTGATATGTTGGTTATTCTGGTCACTCAAGGCAAATTCTACCGAGATGACTTTAGACACTTTATAAGCGTCTGGTGGGGGAGAGCTGAGAGACACATCGCTGGAAAGGATATCATCCCCCTCAATTCATCTTCATTAGGTTCAATACTTAGATTCCGATTGCATCGTCTGCTGACATGCAAGCTTTTACTTTGAGAACTGCACTGGGTTTTCATCTTCTTTCAATCTTTGCGGCCATTCATCTGAGCGCGGGCGGTAATTGTACGTAACACATCTAGTCCTTAGCACTTGTCAATTCCTGGAGTGTTAATGAACTCTTTTGTTTACATAGTGCCATGGAACCTGGGAGTGCACGAAGCCTCACAAGAGAGAATTCAAAGAGTGGTTGATGGTGAATGGATCGAGCTTCCAAACAATAAAGTGGAATGTTGGTACCCGGATACAGTCAGAAATGTGGTTGAAGGGTCAGTAGACAATATGCGTCATCCACAAGATTCGTTTGAGTGAATTCTGGAGAAATTTTCCGCTTTTCTTTACAGCAAGGGAAGCACTATACAGAGGGAAGAACATGTCCAGGTAAATTCAAGTGTCATCCAATGTTACCTGCCATCCTCCAAGTATAATGTTTTGATTCTAAATTTCCTCTTCGTATTGGTTTTCTACCTACCAAGAATGCAATGAAGGCTTGGAAAGCAGGTATAGAGAAGGATCCAAGTGATTTTATGAAAACAAGTCTTGGTTGGACCGACAGCCTGAGCCATCTGGAACTGCCGCCATTTTTGAGTGCGAGCGACCACGGTAACCCGAAGTTGGTGGTTTTCAAAAAGAATGGCGGGTTTAGTCTTCTTCAAGTCCTCTACAAAAAGCCTCCGCCGCTCATTGTGTCCTTCTCCAACAGATTTTCCCTGGCGCCTGTCGAAGGATGTTGAGCATCATGTTATGTGGTTTCGACCACCATTGGTCACACCGGCGGCATTCAAACGGCTGAGACGCGACCGGGCATACCCCAACCACGAATTTAAGACCATGAAAGACCCAAGAGGAGATGCACTAATCGAGTACTTGAACGAGAACGATATCTACGGTTGGACTGGACTTCCACCATCAGCAGTCAGCCCGTTTCGCCAATCAAGCGAGCTGCATCCCATGGAAGCTATATGGCGCAGTCAGTCTGGAGAACCTATTTCACGCGAGCAAGCTGCAGAAGCCATAAGATGGGTGGCCAGACACACAAACAGACTTATTGAGAAGCAGTTTCCGCCTTCCCTTTATGAAACCGTCTGGAATCGAACTAATTACCGTGTTCGGTATGTATTAGTTCATCCTATTGTGATGTTACTCTGCATGCCTCCCTCGGATTGACATTTGAGCGAAACACGTGTAACTAACATTATACTCCGCCCATCATTTCTAGATCGATTCTTGAGCCAAACCACATCCAGTAAGTGAATGATGAATTTATCTTCGTGGGCTCCGGGGAACTGACATGCGCTATGCAACATCATCATTGCAAATTATTTCTAGTGTCCTTGTGATCCCTAAAACCTCGCCATACTCATACTTCAGTCAATATCTTCGCTCCCTCACCCTTCATGGATATGGTGGATACGAGCTGCGGGCAAGAAAGAAATACAAGAAAAAAACCATCGAGGATGTTCTCCCTCAAAACTCCTACAACGGATACAACCTGCGTGCAAGAAAAAACTATGGCAAAACAATCAACAAGGACATCTTCCATCAAGAATTGGCAACTTAGAAAGGAAGCAAAACTTATTGTCTTTTCCAAAAAGCTTAGACTGATTCAAACAATTTTTGTTTTGTTAAATACCATATCTTTACTCATCAAGTTTGATTTTCCAACTTTTGTCTTTGACATATGCACAGTTTGACTCAAGGTCACCCACACACTTAAAAGTACAATTCAAGCTACATTTTTTTGAACAGAGCAATGAGAAATTTGAGTTCAGTATTGGAACTATGGTCAAGAGTTCGCCCTTTTCCCCCCTCCATGTGACCTTCAGCTTGCCGCACTGGGCCAGGTGTGGGTGTGCAGTTCACAGTCAAGCCTTGGCTTGCTGCCACTGAGTAGGATCAGAGAAGGTAGAAGCAAAGGGTGAGATACTTCTGGGAAGAAACACTGGGAAAAAATCAGAATTGTTTATATGCAATTGCATAACAAAACAAAACAAATTGAGAACAGTCCAAGGTTCCTGGAAAAGACAATATCAAGTTTCTGAACCCCACATTTCTGCATTAAATTCAATGTTCTGAGCCTGAAACATGTTATGAAAATGAATTCCAAAAAAAAAAAAATTGATTCATATTGTTGGACAAGGAAACACTTATAGCAATGTAGAAAAGAATAAGAAGATGTGAGAGGATAAAAACATGGAACGAGGACGTCGCGAGTTTATTGTAATGAGAAGGTGGAAAGATGTTTTAAGCCTAGGGTATGGTTAAGGTATAGGAGGATTGATCTGGAAATGGATTTTTGGTAAAAGGAGTTGCAGATGGGGTGAAAGCAAGAAAGAGGAGAGGAGTTAGCCTTATAACTTCTTGCGGTTTTAGGTGTGTTTCATCTGCTGACTCACAGGTATCTGGGCCTGCGGTTCATCACGCCTACTCCTCCATCAAGGAGGAGTGCATGGTATCCTGTGCCTGGTTAGGGTCCACATGTATGTTCTCCTGTGCCTCAATGTCTGTGACAACGGTATTCAGGGTATGATATTTTAGGTTAGTCCTGGTTGTGTTTTCACAGGTCAGGGACAAAAGCCCAGCCTGTTTTGGTTCTAAGCAGGAGAGAACATTACAACTTACGGTTGGTGATTTGTCTGAGCAAAGTGTTAGTTGCTTCAAGCGCCGTGCTGGAGTCCTCATCTTGACAATTGCAAGACTTTTGTCTGAGAAATTTGGACATAGTCAATTTAATTTACACAGTGGAACAGTATTTCAATTTGAAAAAATAAAATTTTCCCCAACTAACAAAAGAAATTTTTTCCCAGGGAAGCATTGTAATTTATCATGTGGGCAAAAAAAAATCCTTCAACTAAAGAGAGAGAGACTCAACTCATTTACTTCTTCCTATGTTAGACAATGATTTTTTTCACTGAAATTATTTTTCAGACAGTATCTCACTCATCTTGAGCCTTTGAGGAAAATTTCCATTTTTGTGTAGACCCCAAACAGTTGGTTTAAATGTTCCTTTTGATATTTTGAGACCCAGTTGGACAATACCTGGATATTTTAAACGCTGAAACAGATACAATATAATACATTATTGCCCAATACTTTGGTATTGTATTGGTGCCCAGATACAAAGTATCTTTAATAAATGTATAGTATCTGTTTTGAATGTATTGTATTGGCCAATATAATACAATTCTAGCACATTCTTTCAGGAATTCAATTTTTTGTGTGTTGAATTTGATAAAATTTGAGTCAGAGATGGGGAAAAGTTGACAAAGTTGATAGTAGACAGAAGTCTGAGAGGCTATTTTTCCTTAGTCAATCAGGCTTAAGTGCAATTGGAGTAAGCTAAGAAGAGGCTAATGTGTCCTCTTAGTGTTGGAATTCTCTCTTCTTGTTATCTGCGCCCTAGCTCAGTCCGCTCAGTCCGCTCTCTCTGATCCTCTCCTATCGCTCTACATCTCTCTCCGTCTTCAATACACTCAACCATACATCTTCTCAAACGACGCCGCATCACCCTTCTCAACGCCTCATCACCCTTCTCAACTCCTCATCGCCTCAAACGCAACACTATGGGAACAAACCTAACCAACCACAAGCCAACCGACTTTGACCCTCAACCACAAACTGAACCAGTCAACACTAACCTATAAAAAGGGTACAATCACTGTTGCGGTCGTCTTCTGAGTGTTCAGTATCTGCACTTTCATTGCATATGTTGTAAATTGCCTGTTTTCGAGCTCGTAAATTATAAGAGTGGCTTGTTTGCGTGGTCTCAGAGCTTTGGTTGGAGGAGTCTTCAGACTCAGATACAGGATTGGGTTGATATTTGGATTGTCTCCCTTGGAGGGAAGGACCTGGTTGAGTATTACGGCCTCTCTTGGCTGGCTTGAGTGATGTAGGTTCGTCGTTTGGTTCTTCAGTGCGCTTCCGCTTCCCAGGATTCTTCTTTGGTTCAGCTGGAAAGAGATTGGTGAATGGAAGGGCCGTAAAGTGGTCATCCATCTGCCACTCTTCCTCCTTTTCCTGAGTTGCCTGGAGTTGTTTTGCTGCCGAGGGGAGGTAAAGGAACCGGAGGCTGTGATCCTTCAAGTCGCCAAGAATTAATGCATGCATCAGCTCAATTGAGCAATGATCCACTGGCCGCCAGTACGGGAGCTCATTCAGAACGCTCCATCTTGCGCTGTATTTCTTCATAAAGCTCTGCCGGCCCTTGTAGCTATCAAGTGCCAACCACTCTTTTGCATGCAGTAGATGTTGCTCGTTGGATCGCACCGGGAACTTTGTTTGATCCGTTTCTTCCAAGTCCTTCTTATGCAAAAGGCAAAAGGAGCAGAACAAGGTTGCTGCATGACTTCCAATCTGCCGCCGCATTTCTCACTGATTTTCTGCCCAGCAGTCTTTGACATCTTCACCCTTCGAACCTATCCCAACTTCAACTGCTCGACTCACCATCTACCTCGTCATCAATCGACTTCTCTCAACCATTCCCCTCATCATTCTTCTCCGACTTCGTTTCTTCTCTTCCCTCATTCTCTACTTCCTATCCCTCTTCTCTCTTATTGTTCAATCTCACCGCCGTTGACTTCACATCCTATTGACCTCTCCACAATCATCACTCATCCTAATTCCGCCGTCACTCTCTCTTGAAATCTTCAATTGCCTTCTGCCAATTTGGTGAGAAAAAACAACTTCTTCTCTCTCTCAAATCTCATTGATCAAACATTGACTTTCTCTTTCTATTTTTCTCTGGTCTGAAAGTGTCTACTATCTATCCTTGTTTGATCTGGTCTATTTCAGTCTGTCTGTTCTGTCTAAATCAAAAGACAAATTCTCACATGGTAAATCTCTTTTATTTTTCTAAATTCATGTTTTCTTTTTGTCATCATTTGTTAATTGTTGTCATTTGATTTGTCAATTCTGGTTCTAGCTTCAATTATCATTCCTGTTTTTCATCACTTGGGACAAGTTAAAAATAGTAATAATTGATGGTTTCATTATCTCGGTATCTAGTAAAGTTTTAAGTAGTCTAGATACAAGGATCAGCGGTGGGCCGCTACGGGCCCATGGAGTGTTAGCGTAGCGGCGCCAACCATTTCTTTTTTGTGTAGTGTTAGCGCGCCGCTACAGCCGCTGCGCTACACTAATTTGTAGCGGTGCTAACACTCACCAATTTTTGGTGTAGTGTTGGCGCGCTACGCTGCGTTACGCTACGCTACAGCGTTTTTAGCGGCAAAAAACGCCTAAAAACCGCTAAAAACTGCTGTAGCACAGCGTAGCGGGCGTTTTTTTGCGCCTTGAGCACGTAGCGTTAGCACAGATGAAGGTAATCGCGCTAACGCTACGCTAAACGTTAGCGCAAGTTTTTTCCCCATGCGCGTAGCGTTAGCGCAGAAAATGAGAAAAGCACTAACGCTACGCTAATTTGTAGCAGTTTTTTGCTACACTACCCTACGCCAACGCTACGGTTAGGGTAGCTGGCCCACCGTTGCAAGGATCACAAGTTGTGGGATCAAACAGCAATGCATAATGAATATATAAAATGAGTGAAATAAAAAAAGAGTGACATGTATTGGCAAGAAAGAGAGAGAGAGCGAGTGAAATTCCAACAAACTTTATTTTTTTTGATGTTTTGTAAGTGGGGGAAGTTACATGTGAAGGCAGAAATAAAGTCTTGAGATTCTCCCTTTCACTCTGTCAGCGGTGAGCCGCTACGCTTTTGGCCCAAAAAGCGTAGCGTAGTGGCACTTTTTTTCATCAAAAAGTGTAGTGTTAGCTTTTTTTAGCGGTTTTTGCTACGCTACACTTTGCTACAGCACTTTTAGTGGTAAAAGCGGCAAAAAACTGCTAAAAAGCGCTGTAGCGCAGCATAGTGGGCCCTTTTTTGTGGCCCACACGCGTAGCGTTAGCGGGGTCGTGGCGAAATTCTGCTACGCTACGCTTAGCGCTAACAGGAATACCGCTGTGTTACGCTACACTAACCGCTATGGTTAGTGTAGCAGCCCACCGTTGTGGTAAATAATACAGTGTTTCTACGCAGAAAAATATAAAAATTTCTTATTATCTCTTTATTCATTCAAGATATGGTAAAAATGACATCAGAGATGGATTTCTCAGGTAAAATTACCCCTAGTCACCCACTATAACTGACCCCATATCTCTCATAGTTTAGAAGTTACACAGATTTCAACCTGTCACGGGATGTCTCTTGGATTCTTTACTCTCAGTATGGCTTGTTTTGAATACTGGATGCATATTGAATATTGAATTCCTTTGTGTTGTATTGAATTCCTTTATTGGCACATAGTGCATATTGAATTCCTTTGTAGGTGCACATGCATTCCTTTGTAGTAGGACCTTGTAGGCTAGCCAAATTCCCTCAAGGCAGTGCTCTCACCAGCCAAATTCTCTCACCTGCATGTACTAGACTAGCTAAAATCCCTCATTGGATCTTCAGGCCAGCTAAAATGCCTCAAAAGCCTGTACCCTGGGGCTAAAATCCCTCACATTTGTCTATATAAGGAGGCCTCTGTCTGCCAGTTGTTCCCTCCATCATCCCACCAGTGGACCAGATCATCTCAATCACCCTTACAGATTATATACAAGTGACCATAACAACACATTATATTGAAATACAACCATAACACTTTCATCATCATAACAAGTGCCAAGAGCCCATAACCTGCCTCACATACCATTACTGGTTGAAGCATAGCGCTCCCAGAGCTCCAAGCCTTGGTTTTAAAGCTTTGAACAACAGCTTCATCAATATAATCATCACTCATTTATAACTTCAGACCTTATACACATCACTCGGAAGCTTCATCTTGAACTATCCTCTATCACGATAAATATAACTGCCAAGCTAAGCTTGGTGGTCTTGTTGTTCTGATAGCATAGAAGGGCAGAGCTTGCAACTCCATCATCCCCTTCTCCATTCAGAAAAAGGGTTTCACAACCACTTTTGAGTCTTACACCGTTGAATCTGTTTCTCTGTATTCATCACTTCCCTTCTTCTTTTTTGCTTGGTGCCTGCAAGTTGATACCCACAAAAAACCCCACATCCGGGGAAAGTACTCAAAGTGTAACTAGAGGAACACACACCAATTATAAGAAAGAGGCTCTAATAATGGAGGACTTCCCGTCGCCTAAATCGCTTGATCTGGAAGGGGGTCCTAAACTCTATTGGCTGGTGAAAACTTGATCTTGATTGATTTTCACCAGCAAATAATGTTTAGGATGTCCTTCTAAATTTACAGATCTGGACGATGGGAAGTCCTCCAATTCCTGTCTAGATATTATTTGAGAAACAAATTCACTTTCTCCACCTGGATAATCAGTTGGCTAATATCTAAAGGCAACTACACGGACAAAAGTTGCTACAAAAGACCTCACTTGGGCAAACAAATGCCCCATTGTCCAAATTTCAATCTTTGTTTTTTAAGGGCGGAGGAGGGGGGAGGGAAACACACATAACACACAGTATCATTAAAAGTTGGAACATGACTGTTGAGGGAACAAGTGTTGAGATATTGGTTGGCCGAGCCCTCTAATTGGATTGTCTCTTGCTTCATCAACTGATGTGCAAGACCCACTAGATGGGAAACTAGGATTGTCCCAAATGGCACATTGATAAACACCATCAGGACTAGACCTGAATAGGCTACTAAGCCATGGAATTCAAAGACCTTGTGGTTCAGGGATCAGTTCTATGTCAAGTTGTAGGAATGGTTCTCCCAGTTTGATAGTTTGATCACCGTTGATTGCCATAATCCTACTAGTTGTGGTGCCAATGCTTCAAATAAAACTGTAGGTAATAATTCCTGTTGAATTGAAATTAAGTAAAAAAGTGAGTAAGAAACAAATTTTAGTTTACTGGATGACTCCCCGTCAAATCTGTGGGTCTCCCAGAAGCGATTTAGAGGCCTCAAAAGCTTGATTTCCCAGCAAAATTCTAGACTTTTTGGGTCTAAGTCAACATCTGCAAGGGTCCCAGATCCGAGGGGAAGTCCTCCACTATCCAGTACATTGTACTTTCCAATGCTTTCTTAACTGGTCCAGTGTAAAATTCCGCAACCACTAGTTCTACCACCATAATCACAATGATCAAGGCACTGATACCAACACCGCCACAGATACAATACGCTGTGTGTATCATGGAGAATTCTGCAAAGCTGCATGGCCAAAAACCAAATTTGTTGAATCTCCTTGCAAATAAAAGCAGATTGGTCAGATAGTTTTTTTTATTGGGGCTCAGATACATAGTGATACATGGCAGATACGGGCAGATACTGTATCTGTGGCAGTGTTGATCTTGTGTGGAGATGACGTAAACCATGGGAAGTAGCCAACTGGTTCATGAGTGACAAGATGTTTGATGACACATTCATGTATGAATTTGACTTATTTCTTTTCCACTTTATGACAATCAAAAGAATTCCAATTGATAGCCAAAAGTTTTTCTTTAACCTTCTAAATCTCAAGAAAGATGATGGACCAAATAGCAAGTGCAAAAGAATAGATAGAAAAGTAATTCATCCCAGTCAGCCAGAAGATGATTCCTAGACCGGTCAGAAAGGTTAATGCTTGGAAGTAAAAGTTGAGGAAGGCAAAGTACAAGCCTGTTGGAATTCAGCTGTTGTTGTTCCCTTTCCATCTTCTCTCTGTCATGCTAGTGTCTCTCCTTTTCTCATCTGTCACTCTTTTGTCCCCATTTCCAGATGAATATACATTTCCTGTTCTGTCCCACAACTCAGCCATCACATGTATGTAGTCAAATAGTCATGCTTCTTGAGTTAGAAAATGAAATCATCAGTTCTTCTGCGCCTTTTCCCTGGAGTCTCTACCGGATACAAATCCTTGTAGCGTGTCAGATTTTCCTCCACGCAAGCTAGCGGCCTCAGCCCCTTTTAGGGCTTCAAGACCATTTGTTTTTTTCCTCAGAAGTTTTTTCTTGAGGCTTTTTCATCGACCGGTGTAAGACTCAAAAAGTGATTGAAAAATCCTTTTTGCTGAATGGAGAAAGGGATGGAATGGGCTGCAAACTCTGCGTTTCTATGTTATCAGAAAACAAGACCACCAAGGTAAGCTTGGCAGTTTGGTTAGTGATAATGGATTATGTTCAAAGATGGTTGTATAATTGTTGAAGGTTGCTTTTGTTGTCCAAAAAATTGATTGATTTGTTGATGTTTTTCTCTTCTTGATGTCTTGATGCTGTATATGTGTAATGTAATAGAGTTGGTTCTTGAACCCAAAACAAGCTGGGAGCACTTTGCTTCAACCAGGACTGGAACACAGGACTGGCTCTTCTGTGTAATATTTGTGAAATGAACTGTGTATACATTTCAATCTGTGAACTGTACTACTTGTGAACTTCTTGTGTAATAAATATATGTAATCTGTGACAGGTGTCCCACAAAAAATGTGTACTGAGTCAGGATGTAAACGGGTCGGGTTTGGGCCCAAAAACAGTGCTCGAACCCGACTCGACACTTATGTTGGGTTGGGTCGGGTCGGGTCAAACTTGAATATATGCTGCCCAGACCCAAACCCATCTTGGGACTTTTGGGTTTCGGGTCGGCAGTTTGCATGTTGGGTTTGGGCCGACCCGAGTATTTTAGCCTTTGTAGAGCAATTATGACAAAAACTTACCTGCCTGACCATCAAAACACCTGCCCGAACCCGACCCGCTGTGGAACTACTCTTGGGATGAATAGAGCTTGAGAGGGATGAGTGCTTTATTGGGCTGCCTCTCTGATAACAAGAAAATATAAGAGTATGGACTCTTAAGGAAAAAGGTGTGGCTGTGGAGATTTCTTGAGGATGGTATGTCTAATATTTCTTATGGTTACTAGTCTAAATAAACTTGTCACAAATCAAGGTATCCCAAATGTTGATGGGCAAATACCTGGCTAATAATGGGTGATCAGTTATCTGAATTGCTGGGGCAGGCTCTGATGTGGAACAAAGGAAGAGGAAAACAAAGCTCCTTATATACAAAATCTGGGGAGTGGCCAATTTGTGGTTGGAAGATGGATGGAACAAAATGGAACAAAGAATGAACAAGGAAGAAAATTGAACTATGAACAATGTGGCCCAATTTAGTGTGGCACTAAGATAAGATAAGACTAGACTGAAACCAAAGAAAGAGCCAAGCTAAGATAAGGTAATGAATCCAGTCTGAAACAGAGAGAGGCTTGGATACTCTTATCAAAGAGGTGGGGGTAATTATTTCACCCAGATGGGGATTGAACAGACACTGGGAAGAAAGGGCCAAAAGAGGTCTAGTATGAAACATGGCTGTTGTGTGGTAATTCTTGGCATAAGATGGAAGTAGATAAGAGATAAGGAATATGTTTTAGAGGGGTTTGAGGTTATATTGAGAAGGGGTACTAGTGTGTAATTGGTGTGTGAGCTAATTCTTATCAAGAGTGAACTAGGAATTTGGCCATGGGTTTCATTTGAGGAGTTTCAGAGGTGTGGAAGATGTTATTATCCATGAGGGGGGCAATTGTGTGGATGACTGGTGTGTTGGATTTGTTTGAGGGCCTGGGGAATTCCTGAGGGTCTTGAGTCTGTGATTCCTGTGTGATTGGTAGTCTTTTTGTGCTCTGAAATCAGGATTGGCTTACCACATCCACCCCCAAATTAGATGATGTCCCCATCATCCAAGAAAAGAGAAAAAAAAAAGAAAGACAATCCTGATAAAAAACTTGATTCATATTCTAGCAAAAGAAGTGGCCAGAACTTGATAACATTGTGAGGGAGAAAAAAATGCCATAAGCAAGGATATATGTAGAAGAATTAATTTTTGTGCTTTTGCCTTATGTACTAATTTTTTTTTTTGTTTTGTTCATTATTTTTATTTTTATTTATTTATTTATTTTTTTTGTGTGGGTTATTTTTGGTATGATTTATTGTCATTAACTCCCTGGTCATTTTTGCTGGATTGGTTCATTTCTTCATTGAATCCTTCTTGACTCTTCATTCCATTGCCTCGATGTCATTTCATTTCCAAAGAAAAATCTGATTTACCCCCAAAAAAATAGAGAGAAGGGAAGAAAAAAAAAGAGAATGCTACCATAAACAGCAACAACCTAGAATTTGAAAGGTGGAAGATTAAGATTTTCAGGACAAGGGCTTCGGATAGTTCAGGGGAGAAGTTCGGCGCAACCACCCCCAAATTTGCAAAGGAAAGAGGGGCTTGGATGATCTTGAACCTAACAGTCAGTCTACATGATTTCATCATTCAGGTTATTCTACGGAGAAGGGCTAGCCCCCCTAGTTTGGCTTCCTTGATGATTACGATGGAGATCCGACGTCCGTCGGCTATTGCGCCGTTGAGAGTCTCGGCCTGATAGGCCGCATCTGCTGGTTCGATGAAAGATATTAGTGCCTTTGACGGCTGATCCAACGCTATAAAGCAGTGTCCAATTGTGCCAAAGCCTTGAAATGTCAGTCAAACATCGGCCGTCGACGTACCAGGAGCTAGATTCGATATGGCGATGAAGTTGGAGTGCGTGTCGGGTCGGTACCTAGCGCAATATTTTGATGGGTCGTCGTAAAGTATTGTCGGTGAGCTCATCGCTTAGGGAGCGTTGGATACTGGTGGGGCTGCTTTACCGATGCGACAAGGCCAGCTGAAGCGCGGGTTCTGGTTTCTATCGTCCTCGCCAGAGGTGGCTCTCCGCCTTCGGTCCAGGTCTTTGGGTGTTTCTCCGACCGGTCGTAGGGCCAAAAGTTGCACTAGATGGTATTGAACCGTTGCTACATGTGTCTGCATTCTATGTCCGACAAATGCCGGCTTCACTTCTTTAGCTTCTAACGCACGGGTCGCCGGTCGCTGCCGGAGTTTCCAACTCTTGACAAGTTGAGGCCGACGCTTTCCGAGTTAGCTGCCCTATCGATTGGCTGCCTTGGGTTCTTAAGGCTGTTGCTACTAGTACCGTTGTTTGTTATTGACTGTCATCTATTCATTCGTCTCCTCAACATGAGTACCTTCTACATTCCTGTGAGGTTTGCAAACGAGCCGCAATCTCCTTACTCGCTACAATCCGAGCAATCTACCCATATGTCATCGTCCCCTGCTCCTGACAATACGACGCCTGATCCCTCGATCAAATCAGAAGTGACCGATGTACCTGCTACCTCTACCGCCGAAACCGCTGCAGCTGAAGAGACCATCGAGTCTTCAGTTCCTGATCCTGTGGTCAAGTCGGAAGAGGCCGACTCCCATGCTGCATCTGCTGCCGAGCTGGCCAACCCTGAAGAGACCGTCGACGTGCGTAGACGAGTCGAGGACCATGTACATGCACCTCGCCCGCCTCCTCCGTCCTTTTCCGATATCCGGCTGTTTGCAATAGCCGCGGCCTTTCAAGCTGATTCCAATGGCCTGTTTCCCTTCCACTACCAGGAGAGGTACGCTTGCTCGCCATCGCCTCCTCGCTCTTCTGACTACTCTGGAAGCGGATCCGCTTCTTCTCCTATCCGGGTCGATACGCCGCCTCCAGCGGAACCCTGCTATGTCTACCCTCCTCACCCCGATCCTGATGTCGAGTTAACGCCTGAAGAGCGTGGTCCTATCTGGGCCGAGGTTGTACAAGAAGACGCCGTCCTGAACGCGCGTCGACACATCAAAGATCTCTTCCGCTCTTACTTCAATCTCCTGGACGGCGATGTCCTCAATCACCCGCGTCGTAGTGGTGGTTATAGGCGTATGGCGCGATGTCGACTGTATGAGAGCATTATGGAGGAGCTGGACCGTGTGCTTGAGACTGTAGACCAAGTACAGATGACTGTTATAGAATAAGTGAGTGGTAACTAAAAAAACTTAGAAATTTCTTGATTCTTGTACATAAACTAAAAAGTTGAAAACTTGATGCTAATTCCCTTTTTTTTTTTTTTTTTTTTTTTTTTTTTATATTGAGAAGGGGTACTAGTGTGTAATTGGTGTGTGAGCTAATTCTTATCAAGAGTGAACTAGGAATTTGGCCATGGGTTTCATTTGAGGAGTTTCAGAGGTGTGGAAGATGTTATTATCCATGAGGGGGGCAATTGTGTGGATGACTGGTGTGTTGGATTTGTTTGAGGGCCTGGGGAATTCCTGAGGGTCTTGAGTCTGTGATTCCTGTGTGATTGGTAGTCTTTTTGTGCTCTGAAATCAGGATTGGCTTACCACACCGCTAAGCTTCCGGGTTGGGTTCGGGTCATGTGATTTTCTCACAAAGTCTGCCCAAACCCAACCCATGACCTGTCGGGTCTCGGGTTGGCTTTGGGTCGACCCAACCCATTTACACCCTGAGTACTGAGTGGGATGAGGAGGAAAAAAACCGACAGGCAGAGGCCTCCTTATATAGTAAATTATGAGGGATTTTAGCCCCAAGGTACACCCTGTATGAGGAATTTTAGCCGCCCTGTACCTAAAAATACTGAGAGATTTTGGCTAGACTATCTACAATGCATCCCTTTTATATTCAAGCTGTAAGAAAGGAATTCATGTGTTCTGTGGCTGAATAAATGGGAATTTAACTGGTACAACTGGTGGCCAACTTGTGGTTCTGTAGGAATAAAAGGAATTCAATATGCAATATGCAATATACCCCCATGCAATATACCCTCCAGCTGAGTGCCTCTGATCCTGTGATTCTCTGTGTGACATCCTTGATCCGTGTAACTTCTGATCCAGTTGAGATATGAAGGTGGTTCCAGTGAGTGACTAGGGGTTAAATTGGCAGTAGATTCCATTTCTGACGTCAATTTTTCCATATATTGATTCCTTTATTGATAATTTTTTTTTAAATTTTCTTCCTTCATACACAGGAATAATCACCACACTGGTCTCTTCTCCTTCTCTGGCCCAATATCCATAGTTTCTTCAAAGCTGATGGGTTTTCCAAAGAGTTCTTTGATGTAATATATTTCTAATTCTAGGATTTGAATTGTCAGATGATAATGATTGCTCCATTGGGATAGCCAGGTTTGATTGAATCCATTCTTGTGTGGTGGGAAGGTGGATTGGGCATGATTGAAGGAGGCCTGTTTGGGGATGATTCCAGCTCTGATGCCGACTCAGGGTCAATGTGGATGGGCTGTGATCGGCAATTCTCTCTTGTTTGGTTGAACATCCCGTGTGATGATGTTGTATAGGTGATGGAGTCAGTCAGCTTTTGTGTGCAGTTGTGAGATGAATCTGGAGGCTAGATCTGATTCAGGTTTGACACAAGTGATGACATTTAACCAATCTGTGATTCTGAGAAATAAACCAGATGTTGATACACTTGTTTTAAAAAAATTGTTTCATTGTAGATTAGAGAACTACATCCTACATTGTACATACCTCTCTGCTTGAATCTCTTGTTTGATTCTGGTTTTGTTGTGTGAATTGATGAGGATGATTAGTTGGTTGGAGCCTTTCAATACTGGTCAACTGGCTGCTGAGATACCAGCAGATTTCAACCTCTGGCTGATTAGTTGGTACTCTTCTAGAAGTTCTCTGTCATCACAGGTCCAGCTGTCCAGATTACGCAATGATTCTATGCAATGAATGTTTCCAAAAAAGGCCTGAATCGGATTTGCCAGTTGATTGGTCTCAAGAGTAGAATGAGAGGCAAACATCCAAGTCCCACCAAATTTTCCATTGACTGCTTGAAAAACATGTTGGGAGTGATTAGATGGATTGGATGAACTGGCCTTGGCTGATGTGCCAGGGAGGTAGCTGACCAGCGGTCATCTACAGGTCCTTGTAGATATCCAATTGGGCTGGACATTGATCAAGTTGAGGAAAGGTTGGATGGGTTAATCAATTTTTCCTTGTAGCAACGGTGAAAAGATGTGATGTGATGTGATAAATAGCCATGTATTGGTATTGCATCAAAAAAGTGATGCATTGCATTGGCATTGCATCAAAAAAGCAATGCATTGCATCCACATCTTATTGGAAAGCGATGCAAACCGATGCCACCAAATTATAGTGCATCACATCGCATTGCTTTTCCTATGCGATACTCATGATACACTGTATCAAACAATCCGATGCAAGCAATGTGATGCAGGGCCCCGCATCGCTCTTGCGATGCAATGCAATAAAGGCCCAATACAATGTGGTACCTATGCATGCATTGCATCAGTTACACTGTTGCTTGTAGATTTGTCCTTCAACTTGGCCAAATTCAAGGCAATCTGCTTTTGTTCTACTTCAAAGTTCTTGTATTCTGAGACTGTCTTTTCTTCCATCATCTGATCCACTTGTATTCAGGAAAGGCAACTTCATGGTTGTCAGTTGTATCCATGTTTGACAGAGTATGCTTCAAAGGGTGTTGATAAATTCTCCTGAGAAACACAAGCAATTTGTGCTGATCAGATATAGGTTGGACTGGATAAGATTGATAGAAAGAAAGAAGACAAACTTGAAAGCAATTTACCCACAGCAAGATTGATCAGAAAGTATCAGACAGAGCCTTGGTTGTGGCTCAAACAAAAGACTAGTGCTGGTGGCAATCACCAATTTTTTTGCTTGATTGATCAAAAAAATCTCATCATTAGTGATCACCAATCATTTTGGCTGATTGATCCGAAAGGAAAAAAGGTTGTCTTACTTTGACTTGACTTGGGTGAGGATGTGATAGTGTATTTGTGCTAGAGAGTAAAGTCTAAATAGGTGTATTGATCAATGGTTTTTGAAAGCCAGACCAATAAACCCCAATACAATGAGATTTAATTATTGTATTGTATTGGCATGGCCAATATAATCATGATGAATAAAGTTTATTGTATTGGACACACAATACATGTGACCATCAATACCATCAATAAAAAGTGTTGTTCTGGGAGGGCCAATACTATACTGGGCACAAATATTGGGTGTTATTCCAAGGCAATACCACCCCAATGTTGGAATAGTGTATTTGCATCTCCAGTGTGGTATGCTCCTTGTCAGACACTGAGGCTATAGCCCATGTTGTACTGAGGCTATAGCCCATGTGTCTACAATGAACTTAGTATTTTCCTCTGTATTAATATTCCTTTATTACAGAGATGCTAACTTATGTACATAAAGTTTATTCTTCTCTCTCTCTAAGTATATCCTGTAACTAGATAGATTACTACACTTTGGGAATTGATTAATTTATTCCTCTCTGTATGGATTCCCCATAGAGAGAAATGATGTCATTCCCTCCACTTTTGATGTGATCATAATTTAAATACATATTCTGATCATTTATGACTCAACACATAAAATGATCATCTGTGGACCTGTCTGGTCCAACAGGCAGTTTTGAACCCTGCCTTGCAATACTTAAGGGGGAGGGCTTTCCTTCAAGGATTCCTCCCCCCAGAGATTATTGCCATACAAACCTGTTATCCTTACTTAAATTAAATGAGTGGGGTTTTTATAATCTATTACAACTATTACAACCATCCATCCACCCTTCATCATCTCCCTCTATTCCCTAGACTACAGTAAAGTCACTACTGTAGCCTAGAAGAGAGTTTTATATACTCTGAGCTCGGCACCGCAAAGCTCATTCCGCGTGTGTCCCCTCTAACCCAGGGAGCTAACCCCTCCGCTTCCTAGCGTCAAGGTGTGGTTCTTTTCCACTGACTGCCTCTGCAGTTATAGTGCGACCCCAAAACCTCCCATCAACGCCAGGTCACACTAGAGACCGGCGCTGACACTCCTAATCTATAAAACCCACAGCTTAGCCTATAGTGTGCATGTATATAGCCTAGTTCCTCCCTCTGGTTCTCCTTCCTCGCTGAATTATAATTACACTTTGACTCAATGTCCTCAGAAGATGTGCTTGACACCCTGTCATCTCTCTTATCTCTCCTGTCACCCTAGTTACCCTCAACACCCAATGCAAATACCCGGCTAGTATTGGTCTCACTGTTGTGGTGTTCTAAACGGTACAGGCCCCCTCAAGTTCAAATTTCAAATTCCAATTCCCAATATTTTACTATCTTTTTGTTTCCTTTTATTATTTCATTTCCTCTGATTATTTTATCTTCATATTATTTTTCATTCATCTTGATTTTATTTTTATTTTTATTTTATCATTTATCACTCTTTCTTTTCTTTTTCAATATCTTTTTCAAATCTCCTACCCAGTACTAGACAATCTTGTTTAATTTTCTTGGTCCTAAGACATCTTACTATGTTGGTTTATTTCACTCTTGATTGTTCTGTCTTGTTCTCTTTTGTGTTGTGTTGTGTTGTGTTGTGTTGTGTTGTGTTGTGTTGTGTTGTGTTGTGTTGTGTTGTGTTGTGTTGTGTTGTGTTGTGTTGTGTTGTGTTGTGTTGTGTTGTAGTTAGGGATGTGATGACATGTCACTCTCCAGAGTCAAAGTTCAGTTTGAACTGAGATGATGGGGAAGCATGGCAGTCTGATCTGATCCAAGATAGACCCATCAAATCTTATTGATCCTTTTGTTATTGATACTTCTGATCCTCATAACTGTCCTCAAGCTCACTCAAACTCAACAACTGCCACAGAAATCAATTTCATCCAGACCCCACTTGAAGGCAGCCCTCAAAGCACCATCCCTTCAACCAACTGCCTACCGCCTGGCACAATAGGAGTTACACACCGTTGATATTTTGGACAAAATGTTCAGGCCCTTAGTGATCTCTCCCATAGGTGAGAAGAGACTCTGTGACAATTAGATAGTGTAGTTTTCTCCTCATGAGTCATGCTTTGGACCCTGAGACTCATCTCATCTTTGCACATATTCTAGTGTGTTTACTGTTGCCTAACTCCCATCCATTCTTAGTTTCCAGAACATCAAACATCTGGGATTTCAAGTTCCATT